CAAATGGACACTTATATAAACTATTTATAGACAGGATAGACAATCTCCCCGTTTAACTGAAGTCAGAGCTAACATAGTTATCGACGCTGAAATTCCTATCGCCCTTTTTTTTAACTATACTATTAGGTTCACAACAAGAAAGCTGTAATGTGTGATGTATGATAAGAAAAATTGTTACAAAAACTTGACCCGGATCAGAAATAACAAAAAATTACGGCCTTCAATGCTGCTGCCATGTTTATAAGAGGGTCTCAAAGGGGTTAACCGTTAGCCGTAAAACGACACGTTAGCCGTAAAAATGAAAGAATTTTAACCGTTAGCCGTAGAAAAATTTTAACCGTGAAAAATCTAACCACAAAATAAGGTCTCAAGATCTTTTATTGAGTCTGATGTGTTATGCGTTTATGTGTTCTGGCAGCGAGAATTACAATCGAAAGTCGGAAGTGCATGTCGAAAGTGTCTGCATAATTTGTCGCATGGATTTCGTTGTGCGAGTTGACAGACGTTTTGACAGCTCTATTATTTTACGACTTTCTACTTTCTTTCATGCTGACTGGTTGCGATGGCTGTAGTGAAAGCGATAGTAAGTCTCTATAGAAGACTTACTATCGCTAAGACCAGGCTTAAAGTCGCGGAAGAGATTAAATTATTTTCGTCGTTCCAAAACAATATTATCGAGTTTCTTGGGCTCAACGAGCAAGCTAAAAAGTTCGGCTAGGGGTCATTTGACTCCACAGATGCGTAAAATGGTAAGCCAGGCCATACAAACCTGTTAATTAAAGCCTTATGATTCATATAGAATTGTTGCCATTTACAAACAAACACGTACAATTAAATATACTTGTGACACAGGTTACATGTACATGGATCTGTTGTTCCTAGTTTATTTTTCCTTTAAGTAATTAAAACTCTATCTTATTTTGGTATTCGTTATGTTTTTCTAATGCAGTGAAAGCATAAAAGTTCTATAGTTCACTTAGAATGTACACACACAAGAATACTTTTTCATCTCAAATTTGCCTGAAGACTTTCAGTATGTCTTAGAACAATGGAATTTAATATTTAACTTCTTAGAACAATAGCAATTAATTTTTAACAACTCCTGTTAACCGTAATGGAAAAAAAAATAACCGTTAGCCGTAAAAGTCACTACCCCATGGAGACCCTCTGATAATTACTGATGTGATCTATTATTGGCTGTTTTTTTGTTTGTTTGTTTTCTAAGCATCGCAGTAATCTTGATTTGCATTAATTTTTGTTTAAGAGACTAGAGGTTTTTGCGATATTGCAAGGTCATCGAAGTAAATATGGAATCATTATTATTTACTAGCTTTCCTGAAAAACAACATTGATACTATTGGGTGTTGTTCAACATATACTGCTTGCGAGTAAAATTCTCCCATTACGGCAAGAGCTCGAAATATTTTAGTTGCCACTACCGAAGCGTGTGACTGAGTTTCCTTCATTAGTGTGTCTCCTTCCTAACGTTGATAAGGGTTTAAAAAAGGTATTATAAGAAAAAAAAATAAGAGCACCATTCGGCTGATTATTGCTTTAGATATGATTAGGATTAAATCGAATAAGAAGTATCCATCAAGGTCATCAACGGTTTAGTAATGACTCTCGAGAAAGAACAAGAGATTTTTATGTGTTTGGCTGCTCTATTATGTGAGCAATATTTGCCGATTCGCGAATGGAGGTGCCAAGATATCGATCAAGTCCTACTTCATGGAGATCCTTCAAGTTCTGATGCCAACACCCACTTTCACATTGAAACTACTAGTTATGTGTGCTAAACGTCTTATGGCGATAGTGTCTTTTCCAAACAAATGTGAGGCACTTCATGCGGAATCAGTACTTTACAGGTTTTGTCTTTCTTTTCTTTGCCATCATTTATCTTTCTCTTTGACACAAAATAGATTAATTGGTCATGGGGATTTTGGTTTTAGTTTCATCTGGCTTCCCCTGAGATAGTGCCAGGTCCAATAATAGGGGTTTCCGTAATTACTGTTCAGGTAACAACTAGAACAGGAATAATACCACCATGCTCCACCATTGCCCTGAGCACAGTGCCCACTGGACTCGTCATTATCCCTGTCTTTAGTGGAAAAAGACTTACCATTATGAGGCCTAAGCCTATTATCAGCATTACCCGAATACAACCCCACGAATAGCGTGTAGTTGGTTGCCTCATTTGTTACCGTAAAATTATTATATTTGGCGTATCTATTTCCAGCCGATGTGGTGTTGATTTCCACCCTCAGTTGACTCGGAATCTCAGTCAGTTGATGAATCTTTTCGTTTCCAAGCCAAAACTCTCCTCTGACGTAACCAAACCCATTCTTATACTCGTCCCAGTCCTTGTTGAAATCAACGAAACCACTGAAGCGCTTGTGAAAGACGGTCCATCCACCACCATCGGTCTTCATGTCACAGTACACTTCAAAGCTGGCCTTGTTTGCTGGGTTGATTGTGTACACTCCACTTTCCTTGAAATCAGCAGAGAGAAGCTCTGCGCAATCTCGGGCTAAAGAATCAAAACAAGAACGTTTAGTTTTTTTTTTCTTTTTGTCGTTTTAAGAACAAGATTCTGAACAAATAATGATCCCATGATATGACTATTAACTTTCGAATTTTTGCGTTAGTGATAACAAATATAGTTTCTTGTGAGATTTATTTAAGAGAATTTTGCCTAATTGAACGTAACCAGTTTTCTTTCTTGGCAAGTATTAAAATCTGGATCTTTAAAACAACAGAAAACGCTGAAGCATTGGAACGTGCCGGTACACCGCAAGGAGAAGACTCTTTAGCTTTAGGAATGAGTGATGAATTAGGATCCTAATTCGTACGTGCCATTGAGCTGTCGTTCTTAAACGGAGCACAGAAAAAGCACACCTGATGAGAAAGCTCCTTGTCTGAACTGCAGACAGACAAACAGGAAAATTTAACTTCTATCTCGCAAACAAAAGACAGATAAATTAC